AGACTTGTGGACTTCAACTCCCAGAATTCCTCAGCCAGCAAAGGCTGTAAGCAAAGCTGGCTGAGGAATTCTGGGAGTTGAAGTCCACAAGTCTTAAAGTTGCCAAGGTTGGACACCCCTGCTTTAGATAATTGGATAAAAATGAATTATTTTGGAGCATTATGCCATTAGGAGAAGTTAGATGTGGCCATAAGGCTTCTAAGGGTCACATTACTAACACCCACCAGTCGTTTAAATAGTGTCCCTCAAGATTTTTCCCTGAAAAAAGCAGTGGCTCATATCAGGAGAAAGGGTGGTTACTGCTCCTCTTTAGTTTACATTTTGCTCTGATTCAGATGACCTGTAGATTTCCTTTATTGGTACAGTTTATGATTAGGGTTAGAATCCAAAGAATCCACCAAGAATCTGATGGACATCACACTCCTACCTTACCCAAAGATTAAGTTAATGCAGATACAGGTAGCTCTCGATTTACAAGCACTTATCGACCCCAAAATTTCTGCTTAGTGAGATGTTGGTTGAGTGAGTTTTGCTCCTTTTTACAATATTTCTTGCCGTAGCTGTTAAAGCGAATCACTGCAGTTGATAAGTTAGCAACCTGATTAAGCAAAGCTGGATTCCCCATTGACTTCGCTTGTCAGAAGGTTGCAACGGTCGTAAGTATGGAACCAGTGGCCAAGCATCTGAATTTTGATCACTGATCATGGGGATGCTACAAAAGTTGCAACTGTGAAAAATGGTCATAAATCATACTTTTCAGGGCCGTTGTAACTTTGACCAGTCGCTAAAGGAACCATTGTAAGTCGAGGACTACCTGTACTTGATATATGAGAATTCTTACTCACTTAGGCATCTCTAGACTTCATGAGAGAACTTCAGGGGAGTGGGGATTATTCTTTAAAGATTATAAGCCCAATTTCTCCTTCAACAAAATGTATTCTTACCTTCGAATTGGCTGTGCAATTTTGCTCCTAGGTATACTGCTTCCACCGATGGCCAGGGAAGGCCTAGGAAGACTACTACGAGTTACAATATTTGTGTTTGCAGTCTTGTTTGGCACTGGAATGCTTGTACTGGAGTGCATTTGCAAGCTGCTGTTGGACAACCCAAGGCTACTGCTACTGTTACTTCCTTGAACTGTTGGACTCACATAGGCCATAGCTTTGAGGGGCTGCCTGGCAGATATTGGAAAGTGTCCCACGCTGTGGACTCTGTGTTGAAGTTGCCCTGGTGAAGGAACTAGAAAGAGGAGAAATAGAACAGATTAACGGAGAACTGTAATTTAAGAGAAATGTAAATAATTCCTGACAGTGATTCCACATCAGTGGTGGGATGCAATTTGTTTTACTACCGGTTCTGTGGGAATGGCTTGGTGGGCGTGGCAGGGGAAGGATACTGTAAAATCTCCATTCCCTTCCCACCCCACTAACCTGCTTTCCAGCTCCGTTCTCCTGTGCAGGGCAACAAAAAAAAACCCAGCCAATCAGCTGGGACTCGGGAGGCAGAGAATAGATGGGGGTGGGGCCAGTCAGAGGTGGTATTCTGAACTATTCAAAATTTCCGCTACCAGTTCTCCAGAACTGGAGAGAACCTGCTGAATACCACCTCTGCTCCACATATTAACACGAGGAAGTAAATTATTTAAACAAATGTACTATATAAAAATGTAGTCAGATGCTCAGTTATTATGTAGTTCTTTCCTGTTGTACGTGCCGGGTGGCTGCTCTTCTGGTTTCCGGCGTGCGCATGTTCACCGGCACCTGGCCTTCCAGTTTCTAACATGCATGCGTGCATGAAAACCAGCTGGTCGGTGGACATGCACGTGCCAGAAACTGAAAGAGCAGGTGCCTGTCATGTGCATGCGCACTGGGCGGCTGCTCTTCTAGGTTCCGGCAATCCCAGGCGCGTGAAGACCAGCTGGCTGGTGTGCCGGAATACAGAAGAACAATGGGTGACAGCTTGCGTGCCCAGAGAGATGGCTCTGCATGCCACTTGTGGTACGCATGGCATATGTTCGCCATCACGGCCCTATCATATTTGGCAGACTCACATTTGAACAACAACCCCAAGACCCCTGAAGTCCTACCCGTTTCTGATCATGAATCAACTGCTCTGAGGAAACAGTTCCTCAGGAAGGGAAGGAGGGAAGAAAAAAAGTCATACTGCCTGCAATTGTTTGGAAAGCTACAGATATAAATTTAAGGTGATACTGAAAAGAAAAAAACGACCTGAAGCAAGAACAACAAAAAATATTCTAGTTTCCCCCACTCCCCAACACCTAAATCTGGGGGCCTGCTCATTCCTATCAATCCCAATGATTTGCCATAGGAACTATAGAACTATTGGATCAAAAGATCCAAAATCAGGAAAGAATGGTAATCCAACAGCTTTCAATGAACACATAAATAAAAAAAAGCATGAACATTCTCATACTTACTGCAAGACTGAATTCTAGATACCCCATTACTGGCTCCATGCAAGTTAGAATCAAAACTTAGGCTGTTCCTCACAGAACCAGCAGGGCTGCTGTTTGCATTGACAGTAAGGGTACTTGCCATTCGAGCTAAATTAGGCATGCTTCTTCGGAGTTTGTCTGCAGCAAAAGTAAGACATTTGCATGGTCTGAAAAAATCAGGTATGAATTTCAAAGAGATAGTTCTTTTGGATCAAGTCAAAAGGACCAATCGGTGTGGGATTTACAGAAGGACGCAGCTGTTCAAGCAAGCTAATAATGGCAAAATCTTATCTGTTTTGATTGTACCGTGCCAATTCCCTATGGCAATATGTTAACTTAGAAAACTCCAACCATATTCTTTTCACACTAAGATTCTGGGATGGGAATAATGCTGATTGTGATATTTCAAAAAAAAAGAAATGGGAGGAATTTGCCCTACGTGGCTCTGAAAGTTTTCAGTTCAGAAAATCTATGCCAGTTGAAGCTACTTCAACTCAGCCTCAACCTTCCTTACTTCGTATTTCCTCTCCCTTCTGGTCCTAACTTGCTTGATCGAAAGAGTGGTAGAAAAGGTTATGTATTAACTTCTACCTTAATTTTTGTGCCATCCCAACTTTGAAAATTAAATCTGTGCTAACCAACCAAGTCAGATGTATTCAAGAATGACGCTTTTTGCCCTTAAAGGACTTCAGCTCTGCTGCAGTCCCAAAACAGTCACAATATGTGGTGAACAGATTTAGCAGGTTTCAAGCTGCCTGGGCCTAAGGAAGGCAAAATGATGTATATCTTATCTAGAAATAAATAACAACCTATCATCATAAAATAAACTAGTTCAAATCCCAGCTAGCTATAATTTATATGCCTTCTTGTCAGAACTTCTGACATAGTATTTGCCAGGTGTACTTAATTGTAAAGCTGTCAAATACTGTTAACATATAATTTAATGATAATTTAATATAATGTAATATATATTTGAGGGACGCAGTGGCTCAGTGGCTAAGACACTGAGCTTGTCTATCAGAAAGGTTGGCAGTTTGGCGGTTTGAATCCCTAGCACCATGCAACGGAGCGAGCTCCTGTTACTTGTCCCAGCTTCTGCCAACCTAGCAGTTCGAAAGCATGTAAAAATGCAAGTAGAAAAATAGGGACCACTTTGGTGGGAAGGTAACAGTGCTCCGTGTGCCTTTGGTGTTTAGTCATGCCGGCCACATGACCACGGAGACATCTTCGGACAGCGCTGGCTCTTCGGCTTTGTAATGGAGATAAGCATCACCCCCTAGAACTGGAAATGACTAGCACGTATATGCGAGGGGAACATTTACCTTTTATCTAATATATATTTAATAATATATATTAAAAGAATGTTTTCTCTTCCAAAATTAAAGAAATGCTGACAGAATTAAGAATTTTAATGCAAAACAACAACAATAATAATAATAATGATCAGCTAGCAGCATCTATTACTCAGGGTTACCCCAATAATAAATGCAGCTTACTGAGATGCATGGATTTTGATCCTTCATTTAAATTAACCTTTACTTAATTAATACCTTCCAACTGTATTAGAATATGACTCCCATTCCTGTTGGGATGATTGTGATGGCTGAGAGTAACAGGGTTGCAAGAGCTCCACTTGAAGCAGCAAAACTCATACTGCTGAATACAGGAATCCTCTTCTTATGGAAGAGAAAATGTGTGCTTGTGTGAGGAAATAAAAAAAGAAATTTGAAGGAAACTACTTCCAGAATATTAAGCCTTTATGAATTATTTTTAGGCATATTGTCAAAAAAAGCACAGCCCACTAGTATTACAGTGTGTTCGGGATCAGATATAAGCTTATGTCATGACAAACTCAGGTTACACAAGCCAGCCACTCTTACCTCCATTAATTCTGCTTGACTGAGACTCCAGAAGATTTGGGGGTTGAGGAGAACAAAATGGCTGCTGTTGATTATTACTGTAGGGAAAATATGGGGAAACTGGGCTCCTCCTACAGTCACGTATATTGGAAAACGTTTGGGAATGGGGAATTCCTTTTTGGAAAGGAGAACAACGTGTGAGTCGAGGCTGTGGAGGGGGTAAGTGGACAAATTCCTCTTCCTCATCTTCAAGGCTATAACGATCAAATTCCTGGTCACCACTGGTCCCTTTTTTGATCAAAGGAAGAGATACATTGGAACTGTTTCTTGACACTGATGTCGACGTTGAAGCATAGTCTTGCCTCAGGCCTGTAAAAGAAGACAAGATCCAAAATACAAAAGTGGTAAAAACTATATTTCTAATAATAATATAAATATAATTGCATTACTATTTTAATCTTGCCGGACAAACCATGATCAAAGAAGCAAGAATTACAGAGATTTCGGTAAGGTTTCTTTAATGGGAATCCAGGTAAACACATACTCTTTGAAATTGTAAGAGGAAATTTCCCAGCCTTATTTATACCGAGGGTATAATTAAAACAGTCTGTCTGAATTCTTTAAAAGACTTTGTCACACCTGCCACAAACTAAAACCTCCAAATAGAAATGACCCTTGGCTCTCTTTATTGAGAAAGGTATAGTTTTATCAGAAGTCAAGCGCCCTGAGAATTGTGCGCCAAAATCCCTAAGTTCAACTTTGCTTTTCCTTAGCTGCCTCCCATTGCTGTTCCCCACCACCGATCAATCAGGTTCAAGCAAGGTGTTTTCAGAATGTCACTTCAAGCACAGGTTGGTATGCGCTGCATTCTTCTCCCAGCCGGCTGACCTTGAAACAGCATTCTGGGGAGAATACAGCAATTACTTTCACTTTCACCAAGTGGCAGTTATTTTCATTTTCCCCCCCCACAAGCATCCACCTTCCCATCCACGCTCCCCAGAGTCTGTGGCACGTCGTCAGCGCATGATATCGAAACACAAGCAAATGTGAGGTGGCAGCTAGCCTGCTTCTTTCTAAGTTTCTTTCCATTCAGGTTGACATTCAATGAGATAAGCTATCAACTGATTTTCCTGTCAAATCTTGATTATTTACATTCACCCTCTCTTCCATTCCTTTCCCAGAACCACACAATCTCTTACAATAGATGCCATTAGGTTGGTAGAAAAACACGGCATTGCACCTGTATAGTAATCTTCACATTGCAAAAATTCAGTTCAGATCAACGTCAACTGAAAACGACTATGCATAAATTTTTAGCACAAAAGCGACACACTGCCATTTTCTTTTTATGCAACTAGCACACTCTTCACTCCAATTAGGTTTCTTCTCTTTGCAGTGGATCAAATGCCATATTAAGTTAGGATAGTTAATTGAGATTTACATTGGCTATTCAATTAAGTTCTTGAAAGTATACGAGCATACACATTTTTAAGGCTTTGAAGTACTCCATATGCAAAGGCAAATGTACGACTGTGTATATACAATACCAATCTCCTCCTCCTTCAATTCAATGCCTATTTTCCAGGGAACATGCACCGGTCATAAGAAAAGCAATTCAATTTTGTAAAAATATGTAGATGTTTTAAGGAGTTACGGAAAAGTAGTATGCAAACACTATTTTCCCTTAAAAACCAAAATACTATAGCACATTTGCAATTTTAAAAAAAACTTATCTTCTACAAAATCATGTTATTTTGCAAAGATCAAGCTTTTTTTTCTAATCAGAAAGCAAAAAAAAACCAACAAGGGTCGGCGCGACATGCAATATGTTCACATTGGTGCAATAGGATTGTGTGTTTGTTAGTAGGATTCATTGGGTTAGGGATTTTCTGTCTTTCACTGTGAGTTGCATTGTCTTGGGGAAGGTGCACTAAGGGAGGCTCAGCCAATCTTGTTGTACACATGTTGCACACCGACAATAAAGGTTTAAATAAATAAATGCAACTATTCAGAAAAAGGAAAATAAAAATTTCAACTCACTCTCTTCTTGTAGCCGAGCCATAATCTGGACATCTGTAAGGTCTTGTAGTTTGTACCCCATGGAAATGGAATCATCTTCTAATTCTGAGGTGCTCAATTCACTGTCCAGAGATGACTGGGGACTAAGAGGGGAGCTTCTAGAAATGCAATCTGTTGAAAAACATTAAATCCATAAACATTTCATAAAGATAACAGCACTAGTTTATAGATTAATAAACTAAGAATGTGACTGTTATATACAGTATGTCTGCATCATCCCAATATCATAAATATCTACTTGGATGAAAAACTCAATGACACTATAGAACGGGGTGTCAAACTCGATTTCATTGAGGGCCGCATCAGGGTTGTGTTTGACCTCGGAGGGCTGGGATGGGCATGGCTAGCTTGACGTCACTCGTGTCGGGGACACCTGTGGTGGCCAAGTGCTAAGTCAGGACTTCCCTCAGACCCTCCCTCTCTCTCATTATAATCTCCTTCCTTCCTTCTTTTCATCCTTCCTTCCTCCCTCGATCCCTCCTTTTCTTCTTTTTTCCTTCCCTCTTCATTCTCCTTTCTTCTTCCTTCCCCTCTCTCCTTATTTTTCGTTCCTTGCTCTCTTCCCATCTTTCCTTCTTTTTCTTTTTCTTTCCTCTTCCCCTTTCTCCTTTCCTGTCCCTTCTTGGATGCTCAAATCCAAAAGAGGAAACATTTCTCCATTTGCTTTGTTTTTAGTTTGTTTTGCTAGCCCTCTGCCAGAGAAAACAGAGCCTGGGAGGGCAGGTGTGCCCCTGGGTTGGTCCTTTGTGTCCCGTGGGTCTTGAGTTTGACACTCCTGCTACAGAAAATGTACCAAACCCACCCCAGCAATCCAATGATATGCATACTTTGCATATGGTTATTAGGAATGTGGATGACACCTGAGCACCATTTTATGTTATTCATTAAATAAACCCTCTTTTACAAAGCTGAAAAAAAGATGATGATGCTTTGAGTTGATTCATTAAGTAGAACAAAGAAAGAAAAATGAAAACTGCAGTACGGATTTATTTTAGATCTGGGGTTCCTAGTTATTTTCTGTCTATTCCTAGTTTTCCTTACAGAGGGACCTTAAATATACCCTCTGTAAACCTATAGGACTTGGGCTGAGAGAATATTAAATTGCTATGTTAGTAAGAAAGTAGGCATTACCTGTTTGTTCAGGTGTTAATATTGCTTTGCTGAAGGTTTTAGGGAACGCAGGGCTGTTAAAGCTATTGCTATATGGAGTAAACCTTGCAACAGGACTATAAGGAAAAGCCAAGGATACAGATGAAGAGAAGAGACTCCGCCATCTACTAGCTGTTAGTGGGCACAGAAAAGAAAATATCAGTTTGTATTTAGCAACAGATTGCATATCTATTGGGAAGTTAATATCGCAAGAAAGATCAAACATTATTGATATATGTACATCTAGCAGGATAAGTCTCACTGGAGAAAAGGGCAATTTATTCCCAAACCAACTGATGTATGAGAGATTTATTAAATTTATTTGCTGCCCATCTTGTATCAAAACAAGATGCCATTTGCATGGGAGTTAGTCCTACTGAACAGATAGAATACCAATAATTTTCTATAGGTTAGAACGGGGAAAACCCTGTTTAAAATAAATAAAAAAGAACCACATTATGAAGGAAAGAATAAAAAAGGGTTTTTCTTTTCTTAATTTTCTTCTCTCTCATACAATACAATTTAACCCTGAACACTTAAAACACATCTTGGTACCAATATTTACCTATACAAATTATTTAAATTGAAATTTAACAGTAAAAGAAAGGATATGAAAATATTCTGATTATGGACAAAATAAGTACACATACCAGAACAAGAACTTTAGAAGCTAGTTTTGTTAAACACTAAAATCATCGTTATTGCATACAGAATAACAAAGTCGTGTTTTTAAATGCTTAAAAGCAATGCTGTATTCGTGAGCTTTTAATTAGCATAGAAGAAAGGTTTTTGAAAGACAATATTATTTGGATTAATTATTGACAACAAACTCGATTAAGTGAAATTTCATGGTAAAACCACAGATTCACTTGCCAAGAAGCCAATATAAATTGCATCCCCATTTTTAAGCTTTTAAGTCAATAAATGTAAATATTTCTTCTTTTCACCAGTGAAATTTCAAGTTACACAAATACATTTTTTAATGAAAACGTACACACTCCACGGCATACATTCTTCCATTATAATCATGCTAAATGCCAGATTGTTATACAGCCACTGATGGACTGAATGAATCGTTTATCTAAATTATGCATGCACATATATGAAAGAGAATAGTTCAACATGTCTTCTTAGTTTAGTTTACTTTATTGTCATTGCACCTCGTACAACGAAATTAAATACCATCTTCAGTGTACATTATGACTATGAAAACAAACACAAACACACATCCTTCACATTCTATACATTGAATTGAAAATTCCTGATAGTGCATTAATATTGCACTATACAGTAGTGTCCTGGGATAGAAGCTGTTTTTCGGCCTATTTGTCCTTGTTTTTATTATCCTTGATCCTATCCTTGATCTTATTTAAAGAAAAGCCAAGAATAGCAAAAGCCATTTTTAAGACAAATTTCAACCTTTTGTCCTTTTTATTAGAAATCATAAAATGTAAATGCCTTTAAATTGAAAAAGGTCTTTTGTGCCTTTGGACTAGTGTCATAACAGTCTGATCCAAGGCCATCTCCAAACGCAGTCTGCAGCCCACGTGTAAAGAGCCTTCGTTATTTTGCCACAATTGTGCCTTTGAGAAGATTCTCACAGGGAACAAAGCTACTGTTTTTGCAGCTGGGATTCCAAGAACCTCAGTAATAAAAAACACAGCATTTGTGCCAAAAACAGAAAAAAACCCTGGAAGAGGACGGACAGAGCATGTTCTAATCTAGAGCTTTTCGTTGCTGTTAGGGAAAGTGTGAGATTTATTTCGGTCAGTTTGAGCAGGAGTTCCTTCAATAGCAAAGGGAAGGGGAAAAAAGACTATGGACCTTCTGCTCTTCTTAGAAAAAGTAATTTCAGAATAGAACCGAGGAAGGAAGTGGTAAAAGTCAAAGTTGTGAAATGTGTTTTTGGAAAAATGATAAAAATGCAGTGCTTCTTGGCTGACTCTTTCTTTCTTTCTTTCTTTCTTTCTTTCTTTCTTTCTTTCTTTCTTTCTTTCTTTCTGTCTGTCTGTCTGTCTGTCTTACTGTCTTTCTTTTCTTTCTTTCTCTCTTATTCTTTCTTCTTTCCTCCCTCCCTTTCTTTCCCTCTCTCCCTTCCCAGCCCCAAACAACTCAAGGTGGCAAATATATCTAATATTCCTTCCTCCTTCTACTTTCTCCTCATCAAGCACCTGTGAGGTGAATTGGACTGAGAGAGAGGGATGGATCCAAGTCATCTGGCTGCCTCTCATAGTAAGGCAGAATTAGAATTCATGATCTCCCGCTTTCTAGCCTGGTGCTTTAACCACTAGACCAAACTGGTTTTACACATCTATTCCCCTTGCCACGAATTGATTGATGTATAGGTGCAGCAAGCCAGTCTAGGCAAAACTGAATTTCTACATTCCCTTTCCTAACAGTTGCTACACCAGTTTCATGGCTCTGTTCCATATTTTGCATACAATTGTACTTGAATCTGTCTGCGGGCAAAGGTAAGACTTAAACTGGGTAAGCTTACACTCATTATTTTTCTGTCTTCCTTACCTTCAGCTCAGGTTGCTTCCACATACAATAACTCACTATTCTGTCTAACTCTGGATAAGCAATTCCCTTTAGATAGAGCTTCACTCTTAAATACAACCCAGTTTTCTTGGTTTGGGGCATCCCCCTTTCTACAGAGTCTCCCTTCTGCTGATCTAACTTCCAGTTTAGAGCCTGACAGACTTCTTATCCTGTGTTGGGTTTGATCTTGTAGAAACTTATTGGTTTCTTTTTCTTTCAGTCTTTCTCTGTTGGCATCTCTACTTCAAGCAGTTCTAGGCTGCATAAACAGAGGGATAGAATCAAGATCATGTGAAGTGTTAATATCACTTTATAATGCCTTGGTAAGGCCAAACGTGGAATCCTGCATCCAGTTTTGGTCGCCATGATGTAAAAAAGATGTCGAGACTCTTGAAAGAGTGCAGAGAAGAGCAACAAAGATGATTAGGGGACTGGAGGCTAAAACATATATAGAGAACGGATGCTGGAACTGGGTATATCTAATTTGATAAAAAGAAGGACTAGGGGGGACATGATAGCAGTGCTCCAATATCTCAGGGGCTGCCACAAAGAAGAAGGAGTCAAGCTATTCTCCAAAGTTCCTGAGGGCAGGACAAGAAGCAATGGGTGGAAACTAATCAAGGAGAAAAGCAACTTGGAATTAAGGAGAAATTTCCTGACAGTTAGAACAATTAATCAGTGGAACAACTTGCCTCCAGAAGTTATGACTGCTCCAACACTGGAAGTTTTTAAAAAGATGTTGGATAACCATTTGCCTGAAGTGTAGGGTTTCCTGCCTAAGCAGGGGGTTGGCCTAGAAGACCTCCAAGGTCCCTTCCAACTCTGTTGTTCTATTCTATTCTATTCTATTCTATTCTATTCTATTCTATTCTATTCTATTCTAAGCAGGGCATCTGCAGGTTTGCAAGATGGTAGATGCAACCGACTATTGACTAATGGTCTTTTAAAAAATATATATTTATTTTGTGAATGACTTTGTGCAATTACAGGTACCATCTTGACTTTTGGCTAACTCTGCATCTAAAGCCCTTTGTTAAAGCCATTATTTTATGCTTCAGGTTGAGAACAAAATTTTCATTTTCTCTTTGTGGCAGCCTCTCAAATAGTGAAATACTGCTATCATGTCCCCGCTAGTCCTTCTTTTCTCCAGAAAACAAAACCCAAATCCTGCAAGTGTTCTTCATATGTTTTAGTCTCCAGGCCTTTAATCATCTTAGTTGCTGTTCTTTGCACTTTTTCCAAAGTCTCCACATCTTTTTTGTAATGTGGTGACCAAAACTGGATGCAGTATTCCAAGTGTGGCCTTACTAAGGCTTTATAAAGTGGTACTAATACTTCATGTGATTTTGATTCTCTGTTTATACAACCAAGGATCCTTTTAACTTCATGAAAATTAGAGAGAATCCTATTTGAGTTGGTTACTCAAATTATAGTTCCATCTTGGAACTATTTTTTTTTAAATCTGACTGCTGTCTTATAGCAGTTTTTCTTTCTGTCCTTCTGCCCATTATATATCAGTTGTTGTCTGGCAATTTGGAGGCACTTCATAATGATAGTTTGTATGGGAATTTCAGAATTGCAATAGACATTTTTCATTCCTTCTCACAATCTGTCCAATTCAAGGTAGCTCTTCCAATGTATGAGATATTTTAAGCATTCTTGCATCTAGAATTCATAATCTACTCCACCTCATATTAATCTTACCCATCCACCAAAAGTGCAAAAAGGAAGAAAGTGGTAAATATCAAACATGAACATGAAATAACTGGGGAAATCCAAGTTAAATTTAACTGAAGCAGGCAATTGTAGATAGAAAGCTTCTCTGCATAATGGACAATAAACCTTTGAGTCAAGCTTTCTGATAAGTGAGAGAACTGCAAAAATGTAGAGGAAGGCCACATCGAATTCCCCGTCACAGTCTTGACACAATCCTACACATTTATATTCAGACTTGGTCAAGTCCAACTGTTTCTCTAAAAGAAACTATGCATCCTGGATAGCATCAGAGGCTTAAGGAAAAGCTGAGTTAGAACTTCTACAGGGCAGGTGACACTGATGGTGTCCATAGACTTCTTGAAAAGAAAAAATGCTGATAAAGGTATCCAGTGAATTGTTATAGAGCAAAATTCTGCAAGAGGCAATAAATCAATCCAATTGCCATGTTGATAAGAGACCTAGTAGCTGAATAAATGTGTTCATAGCTTGTCTGCTTCTAATTGGTTCCTTGGCCTTTGCCATACTCATCATTTCACCATACTGTCAATATTGCATTTATTTCACAAACAATTATTCTGAATCAACCTTCTATCTGGCTGTATTCATTTGAAGGTGTTTTCTGACAAATGAACAAACACATTGTTGTACAAGCTAAGCAAGAATTTTAAAATGACAACAAATGACAACAACAAATTCAAATGAAAATAACTATTTATAAACACGCATCAGACTTTAGCCGTATTTCCAAAAGATAAGAATATCAGAAACACAACAAAGAGCTTTGAAATGTGTCTTAAAATCATGGACATAAAACCAAAAAAAATCCAATCAAATAAATTCCTAATCCTTATTTTATAAACACACACACACACACACACACACACACACACACGGACAGCTCTATACTGAACAACATTCAAATGACTAATCTTACACTGGTGCTAATCTAATCAACTGAAAATCAATAAGAAGTTTAATTGAAAAATCAAAATAAATCTTAAGAACAGAAACTTAAGAGTTACCTTGCTCCAGCCTGAAGCACAAAGAACGCTTGGCAGCTTCCATCTCAGGGCTTGGATTATCAAGAACATGTCGACACCACTGCAAAGGAGTCAATGATTTTTCTTGCTGCATGATGCCCTTAACAGGTGCAGCATATAGCCTAAATAGAAGCAGAGAAAACTTTCAGGGAAGCATTCTTTAGTTTAGTTTACTTTATTTTCATTGTACCTCGTACAATGAAATAAAATGCCATCTTCAGTGTACATTATGACTATAAAAATAAAATACAAACACACATCCTTCACATTCTATACACTGAATTGAAAACCCCTGATATTGCGTTAACATTGCACTATACAGTAGAATTCAATAGACTCACTGCTCTGGGTAAAAGTTGTTTTTCAGCCTATTTGTCCTTGTTTTTATTATCCTATACTGTCCGCCAGATGGTAGTAGTTCAAACAAAAGGTGCCCAGGATGAGATGGATCTTTGAAAATGTTTTGAATTTTCTTTAGGCAGCGGGAGCTATAAAACTCTTCCAAAGTGGGGAGGGGGCAACCAATGATCTTCTGGGCAATGACTTTAACTGTCTGGAGTGCTGTCCTATCTGTCACTGTGCAATTGGCAAACTATACAGAGGTGCAGTAAGTTAAGATACTCTCTATGGTGCAGCGGTAGAAGGTCACCAGCAGTTTTTCATTCAGTTGTTGTTTTCTGAGAAGTCTCAGGTAGTATAATCTCTGCTGGGCCCTTTTGACCAGTGCTGATATGTGAGCACCCCAGGTCAGGTCCTCTTTTATGATAACACCCAGAAACTTAAAACTGGCCACTTGCTCCACTCGGTCTCCACTGATAAGCAAGGGCTGGATGTCTGATCTATTCCTTCTATAGTCCACTATAAGCTCCTTGGTCTTATTGGTGTTGAGGACCAAGTTATTGTCTCCACACCACAAAAGCAATTGGTCCACCTTTGCAGTGATGCTAGCTGTAATTTTCTACCTTTGGTGTTTGAAAGTGAATTACAAGTAATAAAACTATATAATGCTTGAAGCATATTTTAAACATTAGTTTTAGCCTTTTATAAATCAGGATCATGTAACTATTTATTTCTCCAAGAATGGAGATAGCAATGTATATCCATTAGTGAAATAATATGAGCCAATAGTTAAGCTCACAGCAAGCCTTGAACTGAACTTATATACCACACAGGTAAATCCTCAACTTAACCATCATGGCACCAGAAGCTCCAGAATTTTAGTCATAATCCATTGTGGTTATAAGTCAAGGCACTACATGACTGGATTCGATTTTGCAACCATTTTGAACTCCACAGTTGTAAAGCAAATCAAATGGACATTGTCAGGTGCAATAAACCAGGAACCAAGATTGTTCAAATTAGTACAAGTTTATTCCATTTTATCTCTTTACAAAGATCTGAACTACTAATAGTCAAGGCAAATTGGAAGTAGAGAAGAGTCAATGGAATTCAAGGAGGGCTGGACTTAGGTCTCTTGTGTGCAAACTGATTGCATATTTGACCCCTCCCTGCGACTGAGAACTCATTACAACAGGTGCCAAAACAAGCTTTGATTCCAGGAAACAGAAAAGGTTTTAGGAAGTCTCATTCTGGTTCCTCTCTGATTCCCTGGAATATAAGAGAAAATGCAGTCAGGTCTGCATGTTGATCTTACAACAGCCTATCTCAATATAGTCGTAGACTTTTTGTGGCGTCTGTTTCCTGATCTGGACGACCTCAAAGGGCTGACAATAATCTAGTCTATAGTTGATCTACTCATTAAATACTGTATGTTAAAATTCTTACCAAAACCACTAGGAGTGGCAAAATCTAAATTGAATATGTGGGTTAAGCATGTGTCAAATCATACAGGCACATAACAAAGGAATAAAAATCTAAAAGGATTATTAAGATAATATTAAGATAACCATTAAGATAATCTTTAGGTGATTAGTGAAGAAACAAAGTGAGGAGAATAGGAGTGAGAAGGGGGCAGTTTGAGGGTGGGGAAAGGATATATTAGAAAAGGAAAAAAGTAAAATAATTTATTCACTAGTTTAGTCCATTCTTTTAGGTAGGTTCATTGCTACCTATAGACCAGGGGTCTTCAAACTTGACAGCTTTAAGACTTGTGGACTGCAACTCCCAGAATTCCTCCTCCAGTCATGTTAGCTCAGAAATTCTGAGAGTTGGAAGTCCACAAGTCTTAAAGCTGTCAAGTTTGAAGGCCCTTGATATAAGACAGATTTAACCATAGTTTCAATTGGGAAAATGCCAGGGAATTTCTAGAAGCCTGGCACTCTGACAAATCAGCCATCAACAGACACACAGACATCAACAACATCTACAGACTATGCAAAAGAGGCAATCAACCAGCCCAAAAGAGAATAAGACTCCAGCACTTCTCCACCAGTAATCAGTATTCCGATCAGCAAAGATTAACTTTAGATCAACAATCAAGTAAGCAATACTTCAATCGAGAAATTGCCAAAGAGCCATCAGTAAACAGCCCAACCAAAGAATATCTAAGACTACAGGCAGGACACCAGAATATAAACTGACAGCAAACGGGCCCCTTTATTGCTGTTTGATGATGTTGCTTAGTTAAGGTAATGAAATGTCTGCAAGAAAGCAAGCAAACTCAGAGAGCACCAAGGACCCCCTCATTTCACCACTGAACCATAAATATTCTCCTTTATTGGTTGACATTCTCTATTTACTCATTAGCTCATTTCTTTCCATGGTATGGTTAGAATTAAGATTCACAAGACTTGGGAGATTTTTCTGTTGATTTTCAGGTTTACCATGTTGAATTCTTTTAAACATAACTCAACTTCTTAATGGACTGCAGCTGATGATTAAAAAGAAAGGCTCTGGTGAACCAGTGGGGTTCCATTTATTGATATGAGTACCTTTTATCTCCCCAGATGGGTATTTAAATTCCAGAATATTTTACAAAATGAAATTCTTAGCAAATGTGTTCAATATTGTGCAAGAACAGCACAATTATATGTAATGTCCTTTATGGATAAATGCCTAACGAAAGCTTGTGGTGATGTTAGAAGTGAGTCCATTGGCATATAGAGCATGTCATATTAATGGCTGAGATTATGAAAAAAAAACCCATTGATTTTATGATACAGTGAGGAATATGGAATTGAAATATAAATGGTATTTGATATGGGAAACATGAAGGATGTTTCTTCTTTCCACACAGATCTCTACATGTACTTTTCTTTGGAAGCATTTTAAATTTCTCAAAAGGAATGATCAGAAGGTATGGTGGTAAGAAAGTGAAGAAGTATGAAACAGTATTCTTTTCCCAAACTTCTCTATTCCTTCCGAAAAGACTAAGCAGTTCTCCTAAAATGACTGCAGTTTTCTAACAATGGAGGAAAAAACCCCATCAGCTTTGCTGACGGTTGAAGTTTATACCTTTTCTGCAGTATATCACAAATACCACCTCCATTTTCATTGTTTTTTGCAGGCCTCCTATTGCTTTGGATCTATTCAGAAACATTCTAGGCAGACCATACCATCACAAGGGTTGCTGACCACAGTACTGAAATCCATGTGCAATTTTTTCCAAGCCACAAGATTTATCCCTCCCACCAGGGCAGTATTACCCATTCATTTTCAACTCAATCTCCATTTCAAACATGAATGCTAAACCAGGAGCTCCAGACTGGCTATATTCGAAATCCTCAGCTTTCCCCATTTTATAATTACTTCCCTACATTACGGTACGCTGTTCATAACTGTCCTATTTCAATCAGCATCAAGTTAGGATCGTAACCGGTGCACTAGGATTATTTTTTGCACCACATAGTCAAGGCAATGCAGCAAAGAACGCAACGCTAACAAATCTCAGTTGCCCTGCTCCATGCTAAATTCCTTTTAAGAATTTATACTCGTTCCCATTTTAAATGCCTATGCATATTCATGCGTGGGAATTATCCACCAATCCAATACAAAGAGAAGTCTTTAAAGCCTAGTGTTTGTAAAGCTTTGTTTTTAAACTGCACAGGCAAAAAAAAAAAAAAGCAGGTTGGAAGCAAATGGAGGACTTGGAAAAGTAATGGTTGGAAAAAAAATATCAGTGAGAAAATGGAAATGTTCAGATAGGGAGGGCCGAGGTTGATGATGATGATGATGATGATGATGATGATGATGATAATAATAATAATAATAATAATAATAATAATAATAATAATAATAATA